ATTAAAAAATTAAAATAAAAATTAAAAAATAGTAAGAAAAAAGAATTTGCAAAGAACTGTGCTTCTGTGATAGAACTTCCAAATAATACTTTGTTGCTTTGTTGCCCCTACAGCTTCATTTCCCTGAATTTCTTTATTATTAGCTGTTTTTATTTATTATTCTTAAAGATACTAGTCTCTGAAAATGCAACAGAATCAGATGCTACAGGAGAAAGAAAAAAAGGAAAGAAGGAAGGAGAGAAGGAGAGTAGAGGGAGGGAAAGAATATTAGAGAGAAGGTGAGAGAGGTTATACATGATTTTGTTGATATAAGATCACTACTATATTTTCCTTGTTCCACTGCTTACTCCATTTTAAGTGACAGAGTTTTAGATTGGGAAAGAAAAATGAGAAGAATACACATATAATGACTAATTATGCTAGTAATTTATTATCTACTATTTGCTACTCAATTATCTACACAATGTGCTAAGAAGTTGATACATATAATATTTTAAAATTCTTATAACAACCCAGTGAGATGGGTGTCATTACCCACATTTTTAAGATTAAGAAACTGAGTCTATTACTTTACTTATGTTTTCATAGTAAGGAGAAAAGCCAGAATTCACACAAAGCTTGAGTATTAGTTTTATTGTGATTCTTTAATTTTCTTAGACTATTGATTCCTCTATTTTTTCCACATGTGTGTATGTGAAAAGCTGTTATTATTGGGGATGGAATGGGGAAGAGGTCTGAGATGACTTTTGTAGTAGCTGCAGAACACTGTAGATGTATAATGAAGAAGGTAATGAAAGGTTTGGAGAAGGTGAATGTTGGGCCAGTAATAGAAACCGAGAAACTACACTGCCTATATTTTCTGTGTCCTTGTGGTTGTCTTAGTTACTTTTCTCTTACTGCTGGGTCAAAATACCTGACACCCAAAATTAAGGAAAGAAAGGTTTAGTTAGCTCACAGTTAGTGGAGGTTTCAGGCCATACTCAGCTGGTTCCAACGCAGAGTGGCACAGGACAGAGGGCAGGAGTTCATGGTGGTAGAAAACAGCAAAGAACAAGGGGAGAAGCAGCTGTGTCTGTGGCCACTAGCAAGCCTGTCCTCCTTCCTTATATTGCATGTAGATTACCCGCCCCAGGGCGGGTATAGCACTCATACCCATAGTCCCAGCACTGGATCATGAATTAATCACAAACTCTAGAAGCTGCAGGGGGAACACCTAGACACAAACCATAACAGTGGTCTTCCATAGAAGCATGGTGCATGGGAATTATGGTTGTGAATCTGGAAGAGAATGAGGAAGGGGTGCATCTAGAATTTTGAAAATACCCTTCATTAATATTGTTCGGTTCCTGATGCGAAGGGATTTATTCGTTCATTTTGTGGTATCATAGTAATAGTATGATTATATTATAAATGTCTTCATTAGGTAAAGATTATACTAAAATACTTGTAAGTAGAATAATATGAATAAAATTTGCTTTAAATATTGAAGGAAAATAGAGAAAAAATGAAGAGACAGGTAGTGATGATTAAAGCTGGATGATTGGAGTCCTCATTTGGAGTAACTTGGGCACTGTCTGTCCTCAGAGGTCCTTATCCCACTGAATGAGGGAGGCTTACTCATTCTGAATATTAAACAGTCTTATCTGTACTAAGCCCTGTACTTTTTCTACTTCTGCTGTTTTTTTTTTTTTTTTTTTTTTTTTTTTTGTTAGAACCCGGGATTGAATTCAGGCCCTTTGCGCTAGCCAGGGAAGCACTTATTCCACTGAGCTATCACCCCGACCCTTCTACTTCTCCTCTTAAGATTATTTTTTCCAACAGGTCCTTTCCAGTTGTATGGCCCTATAAAGGGTATTTCAATTCTTTGTGCCAGGAGATCTATAGCTCTAGTCCTCAGTCAATATTACTCCAGAAAATTTTTAAAAAAATGTTTTTATGCCTCTTCTCTGAGTAGGTCAGGGTAAGACTGGAGCACATATCACTGTAGGACTGGAAGGCCATGCTTGGTTTTTCCCAGTTAGTTCTTTAGAGAGGGGCTCTTTATCTGGCCCACTGACTTTTAGAATAAATGTTGTTTGATCTCATTCCATCTTTGTAGATATGATCCCATTCTTATCAATTCAATTGCCTTTGAGCTAGATAAGTTCCACACATCAAAATGGATAGTTTAGAACTGAGAAACAAGGACACAGTCTTATAAAAGAAGCTGTTCTTTCTATAAGTAGTAGGAAGAGGAAGTAGATAAAATTTTAGTGTCAAATCTAGTATTCAAAAGTAGTCAATGAAAAGAATATAAATTCTAGGCTGCTTTGTTGTACCAAGAGTTATGTCATGTATCCATCCATCCATCCATCCAACATTTATTTAGGACCAGACATTAATGTGAGATAAAGAAAAATAGAGATACTTCTGAACATCCGCTTTAGACAGCCAATGATTTTACATTTAATGCAGTAATAAGTGTCATGATAGAGAGAAGCCCTGGGTGCTATGGAAGTGTTGAGAAACTACATCTAATGCAGTAATAGTAGAGAAGATTGGTTATATAAAGGGGAAGCTCTTTTTTTTTTTTTTTTTTTTTTTTTTTTTTTTTCCTGCAGTACTGGGGATTGAACTCAGGACCCTGTATTTGCCAGGTGGGCACTTATTCTACTGAGCTGTTTCCTTGGCTCTAAAGTGGAAGCTCTGAAGGATTCTTAGAAATTGCCAGGCAGAGAAGGATGGGTTGCAGTCCTATAGCAGCAGAGTATGCAGAACCATGCATGAGCAAGAGACTTGTGAGTTGGAACTTTTCTGAGTTGGTATGATTGAAGCATGGCAAAGAACAGAAGATGAAGCCTGACAGGTGAGCAAACAGCTGTTTTTGCTGGGTTCTATGCGAAGTTAATTGCATATTAACTAACAAAAGATGAGGAAAATTTAAATGTTAGAAAGATTATTCTGGATGTCATGTGGAAAAAAGATCAGGAGGGAATCAATCTAGTCATAACAGTTAAGCAAGGAAAAAGGTTGTGCAAATTTTGATTAAGGTGATGTCACTGTGAATGAAGAAGAGAGTAGATATTAGAGATGATTTCTAATTAGAATCATTAGGACTAATTAATAGAGTTTATTGGACATGAGAGACATAAAAGTAGTGATTAAAGATAGATATGTAGTGGTAATTATGGAGGATGTCTAATTCCTTACTGATCCTCTAACCAAGGGAAGAAATTAAAAAGGTATGAAGCTACTGTGGGAGGCTGAGGCATGAAAACTTAAGTTTGAGCCCAATCTGGGGAATTTAGTGACTTAATAAGACTCTGTCTCAAAAAAGAGTGGGGCTGAGAATGTAGTTTAGTGAAAAGGCCTCGAGTTCAATTCTCATTAACACACACACACACACACACACACACACACACACCAGGAATAATTTTTACTTAAGCCATTATGATGAATAGTTATAACAATCCAAATTTGAGAAATATGTCTAGATACTTTTTATGATTATAATTTCACAAGGGAATTTTAGACTGAAGAGAGTATAGCTGAAAAAGGAACAACGATAGCATTATGTCTTAGGCTTTATTCTTATAAGAAGCAGCCAATAAAAATAAAATAGAATTGGAACAGGTACTGTCAACACTAATTATTAACATTGTTAAAGAATGTTGGAAAAGTACAATTTTAATTTCTCACAAAAATCCGAACAAAAACAGAACAGAATCCTTGAGGCTCAAAGATAATAAATGGTTTACTTGCGTTTGTATTTAGCTGTAGGTGAGAACATATATTCCATCCAGCTTGTCCTTCAGGGGATAGTACCCAGCCTGTTAGTGTCCAGGTCATGAAAAGTAGAGTCAAAATGGCCAACCTGAAGAAGAAATGAGTACTCTAAGGATAATAAAGAGCTATTAAGTACTTTGGCAATATATATCAAGAGAAATGATTTTTGAAGTTCTTTTAGAATAAGAGGAAGTAATTTATGAAAATGAATACTACACTATGTACATAATATTCAAGAAATTTTACCTGGGAATCATTAGTGTAAATGGTATTATAATTTATAGAATTTGTTTGGAGACTATCAGTAGGACATAACTTAGTGGACACTTAACTTTCGTGTCAACTTTGCCCAGGGGCCATGCTAATTTTCTCTGTATCATTCCAAATGGAGTGTATGTGCTGCTGAAGCGAGCATTTAACTTTCAGTTCATTTTAACCACTGTGTTACTGCTACTGCTATGTACCTAGCATTGTTACACATTTGTGAAGGACTTACAAATGAAACGTAGGATAGTTCTGTCTTTAAGGATCTTAAAGTGTTGTTAGGGAAACTAGATTTTCAAACATGAAAATAATTTGGAATCATCCAGAATAGCATATAGCAAGTGGCATATTTGTATAATGAAGTGATAAAATTTAGTAGGCAGATGAGTTGTGCTCTGGGTGGTCAGAAAAGGGAGAGAATGACAATTCTCTCTGGGATCAGTTGGAAGGCTTCACAAATGATATGACTTTTAAGATTGGCCTTGAAGGATGAAAGTGATTTGATTTTTCAAAAAAGTTTCAGGACTAGTGAAGTAGACATATTTTGTTTTGTGTTTCTAAAAACAAACAGAAATTTAGCATAATAGTTCATCTGTTTTCTATAGTGTTAGCTACTAAGGTAGTAGAAAGAAGCTAAGTATTAAACAGTAAGATAGAGGAAGGATTAGCATTTTATGCTGTATCCATATAATTGAATCTTATTAAACTAGCACTAAAACTTTAGAGAACTATTTGGTCTATGGAAAAATCATAGGTCTTATCCATCTAAACTGTCAGTTCTATCATTTAGCAGCTTTCTGTCTTAAGGCAAATCACTGTTTTTGAGCTTTGGTTTATTCAGATATATATAAAAATAACCCCAGTTCAAAAATTATTGCAAAAATTAAAAATAATATATGTACATATTTAAAATAGTGGACACTGAATAAATGTTATTATTCATTTTTTAATGGTATATACCTGTTGGTAGATAAATAAATACTATTTTTCTGAAGGATAATTTCTCAGTTCTTCATAAAAGCTTTAAAATGAGTATTTTCTGTTTGACTTAGAAATTCCATAAATGAAAATTTACTTTAAGGGAATTAATAAAGACATGAACTTTTAAAGGGCTATTCTTTGCAATATTGAATAGAATAGTGAAAAATAGCCCACATCTACAAATAGTTGATTAATGAAATTTATCCACTTCAAAAGGAATTATAAGCCAGGTGTTGTGGCACATGCCTGTAATCCCAGCACTTAGGAGGCTGAGGCAGGAGGATCACTGCAAGTTTGAGGCCAGCCTGGGATGCAAAATAAGTTTAAGCCAGCCTGAACTACATAGAGAAGCTCTGTCTCAAAAAGACAAACAAAGCAAAACAAAAAACCCCCAGAAAACAAAAGGGAATTATAAAGCGACAAAAATGGCATTGAAATGTGTTTGTGATACAGAAAGGAAACAGATTCTACAAATATATAGCATAGTAAGTTCAAGACAAGCCTGAACTACATAGTAAAACTGTGTCTTAAAAAAATAAAAACAAAGGGGCCAGGGAGATGGCTCAGTGGAATAAGCGCTTCCCTGGCAAGCGCAAGGGCCTGAGTTCAATCCCTGGTTCCAAAAAAAAAAACCAAAAAAAACAAAAACAGAAACAAAGCAAAAGCAAAAGCAAAAACAAAAAGAAATGGTAGTGATAGGGTAGGGAGTAAAGTATCAGTAAAATAATCAGGAAGCAGAGGTTAGATTTTCTTGGTGATGGTAAAGATCATCACATCTAGACCCTTATTGTCTTTTCTTAATTTTTACTATAGCATTAACAGTTGGCTTTCTGCTCTAAAGAAACAAAGGTTAATTGCTGCAAAAAGTCAATGTCTCCTGCTTTTCCTGTAGTTTTTTCGTCCTCTCTAGGAAGGCAACACACATACAGTTCTCACAGGCCTGTGGGTATCTGCAGCAGGAGCAAGAAATATGGTTCTTAGAGATCACTGTCCTCTTAGAAAAGTGAATAAACAATCACTCAAATAGATGTGTTACAAATTACATGAACTATTATGAATAAAAAGCTGAACAGGGAAAAATGGGGGTGGGGGTGGGGGTCACAGAATCATTTTGTACTGGGAAGTCAGCCAAGATATCCATGAAGAAGTGACTGCTAAAGTCAGTTCTGAAGTATGAATAGGAGTTACATAAAATGATATGGAAGGACAACATTCTAAAAACTAAGTGGAGGAACATAGTTGGAAGTTTTCAGGCAAAAATCTCAGCTTTATATGTTAAAATAATGGCCAAGAGCCAGATGGTCTGGCTCCAGAGAGGTAAGGTCATATAGGAGGGTGGACTGGGACCTTGGGAGAAGTGTTTTGGATTTTACTCAGAGAGCAGTGAGCAGCCTCTGGAGAATTTTTAAGCAGAGGGTTAAGTTGAAGCAATTTTATTTATTTATTTTTAAAAAAATATATTTTATTTATTTGGTACAGGGTCTCCCTATGCAGCTTGGGCTTGTAGTGATCCTCCTCTCTCAGCCTCCCCACTGCTGGGATTACAGGTGTGTGCCGCCACGCTTGGTATTAGTAGCCAACATGGCATGAGGTACGAGGGATTGAACCAGGGTGCACTTGTGAGGCAGGCACTTAGATCACTGAGCTATTTTCACAGCCCCGTTGAAGCAGTTTTAAAAGTTTGAAAGATTTCTGACTGTGGGCTGGGCAGATAGCTCAGCAACTTAAGTGCTGCCTAGCAAGCACAAGGTCCTGAGTTATATCCCTGGCACAAAACAAACAAACAAGCAAACAGATTTCTGCCTGCTCTGAGGAGAAAGAACTAGAGAGGCAGGAATGTCCAGAGGATGAGTTTCAGGCTTTTAGAGCCCTCTAGAAAATGATGATGCCAAGTAAAGTAAGTGAAGAGGAGAAACAGAAGATAGTTTGGAGATTTTTAAAATTTAAAAAAAATTTTTTTTTATATCATTGAGAGGACTTCATGATGGATTGGATTTGGGGAACAAAATGAGGAAATTCAGGTGGTTTTTAGAATACTTGGCATGAGTTACTTAGTAGATTGGGAAAGACTCACAGGCCCCAGCCACCTAGAAAGACACATGGTCAGCAAAGCAAGGCCTCGAGCAAATAGGCTGCTGCCCAGCCTTCGGTCTTTATTTGTATATATCTTGAGTTTCAGCCTTCGGTTTACTTTAGGTGAACATAACAAGATCCCATCGTATGTGTCCAAGATTAATGTTTAGCCTATACGTGAGAATCTGGTAGGCATGTGGGAGCAAGGACACAAAAACAGGGTGTCCTTGAGTTCCAAGTGTTCTTAGTTACTCTCATAGCTGTTGCTGCCTGTTTTCTTTTTCCTTGTCCCACATGCCTTGCAGGTTATTTATCATGCCTCTGTATGAACTCTTTCTTATTCCAATATCTATAAGATTTCCAGATGGAGAAATTGAGTAGATGAGGTTATTTTTGTCTTTGTTATTCAAAAGACAAACATTTGGGATGGTGATAAGCCTTTAAGAGTACTTGGCCTATGGCTAGTACTGACAGCTACATGGATGATTAGGGTTGTCTAAGAGAGAATATTGAGAGAAAGTAATGAATGAGCCTTAATGAATTCTATTATTTAAACTTCAAGTACAGGGGGAGGTGGCAAAGCATTTTGGAAGAGATACTTTCCAGAGGTCAGTATGGAATGAATGTGCTGAAAGGTCTAGTGAAATGATGGATGTCTGGGAAGTGATCTAGAAGTTTTTGATGATCAAAAGGAAAGAAGATTCAGCTCAGTAGTGGGGGTGGAAGCCAGACTGTACAGAACAGTAGAAACAAAAACTGAGGGCGACATGAGAATGTGTACACAACTCTTAAACATATTGACTTTCAAGGCAGAGGGTAGTAGCTGGAGGGAAGTGGAAAGTCAAGGGGAAGGCTTTTCTGTTTGTTTCCTTTTGACAAAGGAGATTCTGGAGGATGTTGAGACTGTTTGTGGGAATGATTTAGTAAAGAGAAAGAGATTAATGATGTAACAAGGACAGATAATAGATGGAAGCTCTCATGGTTTGCATTGATGTTTGATAGGAAAGGAAAGGTTTTCTATATCTACCACATATTGGGTATATATTAGTACTATGCTAAATAATTTGCACCGTAACTGATAGATTACTCACAGTAGCCCTATGAAGTTGATATAAGTTGCCCCATTTTACAGGTGAGGAAACTGAAGTTAAGTAGAGACAGAGTCAAGATTTTAATTTGGAACTGGTTTATTTCATAGCTTATACTCTTAACTCTTACAGGATTTCCTCTGTGAAAGTGTCTTTGTTAGTTCGATCACCATAAAACTATCCTAGACAGAGTTGCATGCCAAGAATATGGTGTTGGGAGGTATGGTTTACTCCAGAGACTTCTCTTCTTGGCTTGTATATGGCCACTTTCTTGTTTGTCTTCACTTGGCCTTTCCCTTGTGTGCTTGCATTCCCAATGTCTCAAGAGAGTCCTAATCAGTTTTCTTTTCTTTTTTGCGGAACCAGGGATTGAACACAGGCCCTTGCACTTGCCAGGGAAGCGCTTATTCCACTGAGCCATCTCCCCAGGCCCTCCTAATCATTTCTTTTCTTTCTTTCTTTTTTTTTCTAATCATTTCTTATAAAGGTGCCAACTGATGGAATTTAGGAAACACCACCATAGTGGCTTCATCTTAACTTAGTCACCTCTTTGTAGGCTTTATTTCCAAGTACAGTCACATTATGAGGTCAGAGTTACAACATATACATTAAGCAAACATAATTCAGTCTATAACAAATGGGGCTTTAAAGTATGTATAAGGAAAAGTGTGGCTGTTTTGGCACTTCTGAAAGTGTAGTTGAAGAGAGAAGATGAAGATTCAAGAGAAATGTATTGAGGGTCAGCTGAAGTTAAAGGTCATTTATATGTATCCATCTTGCCCAACAATCTTAGTCTCTATAGCATTATTTGTGTGAAATAAAGAATTAGGACTGCAGGGTGTTTTGATTAGGCTGCTGGGTGCTTCTTGACCAGTCAGATGACCCTCTCTTGTGTGCAAGGTTGAAATGCAAATGAGCTTTGTTCACATCCTCAGCACAATTACAATAACTACTTGCCAGGGACCTTTCTGGCTGTTCTCAATAGTTGAAAGCATGAAGGTTGAATCTA